TAATAATAATAATAATAATAATAATAATAACAATAACAATATCAATAAGAATGGGTGCGTGGGGGAGAAAGAAGAAGAAGAAGAAGAAGAAGAAAGAAGAAAGAATGGGTGCGTGGGGGTGGGGGTAGGGCTGGTTGGGAAAGAGGAAGAGAGAAAAGGGAGGGAAGGGTGGGGTCAAAATAAAAAATTTAAATTTATAAAATTATAATTTGACCCCAAATGACCTGAAAGTGACATAGAAACCGCCTATTGGACCACCGGTGAAAGAATGTAGAAAGTTCGTGTACTTTTCTGAAAAAATTAAAGTTTATATATCGAAGTAAAATAATGATGAAAGTTCGTATACCATGGGTGAAATTTACTCTTATATATTGGGACGTGTGTGACATGAGGATTGAGGGGTATCTTTTAAACAATATTTGGTTTTTTCAAGAACTTTGGTAACAATAAAAAGTAAGTTTCTATCAATATTTCCAAATTAGTATAGCGCTTCAAACTTCAAATTACTGGCGGTGTCATTTCTTAGGTTGTAGTGCTGGTCTGCTGGACTAATGTTTCTACTACCTCGGTCCCATTTTAAATTGCCTGTTTGTCTTTTTTCTCCGTCCCAAAATAAGTTGCCTGTTAGTTGTTTTCGTAAACTTTTCAGAGTAAAATACCTAAACTACCTCTAAAATAAGTCACTCTTCTCCACATTATCTTTTCATTCATTATCATCCCTCTTAAAAAGTACTGACAAATTCGGAAAATCAACTCTATTTTTTATTTTCCTTAAATATGCCCAAAAGTCAAAACGGGCGATTTAAAATGGGACGGAGTGAGGGTCGTCCCCGAACATTCAAGGATCCTCCAAAAGAGGAAAAAAAATAAGTCTGTCCCTAATAAACTACTCTTTCCGTCCTCAATTTGATTACAAATTAGAGTTTACGAGAAGAAATATCTTACTTTTTGAAATCATTTTATTTACAAATCGGTATATTGATAATAAATAAAAATTACATATCAAAAAACTACTTTAAAAGTTCTACAAAACAAGAGGTGACAATAACATTTTATTTTATCAAATACTTAATAAAATTGCGTAAACAAACAAAAGTTATCGAAAGGAGAGAGAAAAAAAATTATAATCAAATTGGGGACAGTATGTTATATAAATAATTTTTTAGACAACGATTAACATTATTGTAATACATATAACAAGATTATAATATTATTATTAAATACTCCGGTATCATAATAGTTCTTTATATATAAATTTGAGATTTCAATCTTTAAGAACTTGACATATGGCATATTATACATTTGACATATGGCATATTAGGTGACAATTTGACCAAACTTACTTTCTTCAATTATTTCACCTTTTTAATTCTTTTTTTAAAAATGATAATTACTTATTTTTAACTCATGAATCAGAGTTTATAAATAAAATTATACGTTACTAAAATTATACGTTATGAAAAGTTATGAAAATTATATGCTATGAAAAATTATACTTTGCATAAGTATACTTCTGTAAATACATATACAGCGCAATATTTAAAGAGTTGATAAATTAAAAGAGTATCCTAGTTCTAAATAAGGCATGCTTTAGGAAACGCCTATATTGTACATTCAGGTATACCTAGAATTAGGTACATCTAGCAAAAATTTATTTTGAATCAACATATTGTTCATTCTAAAGTAATGTAGTGTTCATTCTAAGTCTGCTCAGCGTAGTGTATTCATTCTAAAATAACATAATGTTCATTGTGAAACAACATAACATTCCTTCTGAAACATTTTGTAATTATAAGTTTACCATGATGTACCGTATATCTGACTGTACCATATAATTTGCATGCTTTTTATGGGTTTTTTTTCCTTGATCGGCCATTGCATAGAGTGTGACTCTAGAGAGTCAAGACTAGGGTATGCTTCTTATAACGTGTTCTTTTCAACTTATTTTATTATTTACTCCGGTATTACTTATTTAATACTTATTTTCAACTTATTTATTACTTATTTTTATTATTTTTTACTTATTTTATTAGAATCAAACAAAATGAAAACACACATTTAAATACAATTATAACTAAATCAAATCAAAACTTATTAAATGAGATCATTATCAATCAAATCAAACAACAATCCCTTAATTCCTCAAAAAAAGGAGCTGGCTTGTTAATGGGCTGGAATGCTAGATTCTACTAAAGGTCTAAAACAGTAAAACCAAGGGTCCAAGAGTATGGGATTGAGTTTATCTTGTGCATATTTATCAATCATTTTGTGCTCATCAATTTTTTTAATACTCCGATATATTCTCAATTTGATTCTTAAGGTTATTTTTTAAAATTTTAACTATAAATTAAAAAAAAATACCCGGCCCAGCTTGGCGAAAAGTAACAAGTCAAATGTGACTGGTCAACAAATTAATTGGCATTCCAGGAAGCGCAAAACGTTTGGGAAACGACCGGTCTCCTCTTTCTTGAAAAGTGATCGGTCATGTCTTCGACATGGCCATTTTCTTACAGGGCCGTTACTGGAGGCGGATCGAGGGATTAACTTATCGGATTGGCACGGTCAGATTCCACGAGTTTGATTGACAGACACGATGCTAGGCGAGGGCACGCGTAGAGCCATCCCGCTGTACTGTTACAAATTAATAGCGGGAATAAAAATTAATAATTCGAACTTATAAACCGTTCAGATTTTACAACGGAAATAAAGTAAAGAAAAATTGGAATCTTCGGAAGCCCGAACACGAACGGATAGGAGCAAAAACAGGAACGGGCAGGAGGAAGAACACGAACGGCACAAGCAAGAACACGAACAGCAGAGGCGGCAGGTACGTCGGACGGATGGTAGTGGGTCGCCGGAGCAGTTTCTCGAAGTGAAGATTAGGAAAGCGGAGTCGTCAGAGCTTTCCTTAAGGTAGTATTGCCCGCCTCCCGCACTGGCAAATGTGGACAATCTCCTCCCAGGATAAAACCGCAACGTGCAAGGTCTTGAGCGGTAGAACCGTGCAACGACGAACGAGAATATAATGACGAAAAGTATTTGCCAGAAATTGACTGGAAAGTTGGAATATTTCAAGTTCGAAAAATCTGTGTGTGACTCTGCAGCGAGAGGCCTCCTTATAAAGGAGTGGAACGGGTGTCGAGTGACTCTTCGTTCATAAATGCATGCATGCTCATTAATCCGTCACTTAGTTATTAACGAAGTGCTTACACGTGTTCGATTCGGTCTCGTAAAAAGCTAGCCACGTCCCGCCGCACATGCGGGCACGGCGCAGTACGGCGCGCGCGCCTCGCCTCGCCCGCCCCGCGCGTGCCGTGCCGCGCCGGACAGTAGCGGCGGCGCGCGCGAGGAGTCCTTTCTTGTTCCTTTCATAAACTCAATTATATGCTTAAGTTTAAGTATGAGAGTACGAAAGGTTCAAGATCCGGTGTGGGACAAGAATTTTTACTCTTTCCACGTGTTCGACTTTGTGAATTAATTTCTCATTCACCCGAGCACCATTTTTGGCGTGTAATATGTCGAAACACTTATCTCACCAACGAGATTAAACGTCCATAATTATTTCGGAAAATAATTTTGTGGACCCTACCGAATTTAAGTTCGGAAAATGTCCAATTTAACTAAATATTCCAACATGTACTACCCTGCCATCTTCGGGACTCAATGATGGAGTGAGAATCGCGCTAAACCGCTGGACAACATAAATTAGGGCGAGATTGGCACCCATTAACGGTTCGGCCAGCAAGCAGCGAGGAAGGGCTTGTTACCTTAATTGGCCTCCTCCAGTTTATATAAATAGATTGTAAGAGGTGGAGGAGGGAGATTCATAATATACACGCATTTGTACACTCTTGAGATAGAGTAAAAAATATAGTTTCGGGCACATGAGTTCTTTCTTGCTCTAGGTCATCTTTTGTGTTCTTACTTTCTGGTGTGTTTGGCCTTCTTGGTAGAGTCTGTTTGACCCGATCATCCCCAGTCAAACTTACCCAGCTAAATGAACACCATCAGATTCAGTAGTATTATAAATTTAATATTAATTAGTTTATTTTGTAACATAGTTTTGAAATATTAAATATATATATATATATATATATACACACACACACACACATACACATACACACACAAACACAAAAAGATATTGATAGTCAAAATGTTGCATTAAAGACCGTGAAAAATTAACTGGGAAAATTCAAAGAAGACGAAAAATGTGCTTTTCTTTCTTGAACGTCTCATAAAAATAAAAATGGTATAAAACAATTAAACAAATAAAATGCTGATAAAAAATTCTGAAATAGAAAAATGGAAGTAAGAATAATTTTTATAGTATTTATTTTTTAAAAAATAATTTAAATTGATTAGAAAAAGGTAAATATTAACAATAAATAATAATGGGGTCGGTCACTCTATGCTCGAATTACTTTGGATTCGGGTCAATCCGGATTCGAAATGAGAACTATATGTTCATGATCTAGAGTCATCGAGTTTGGGTCGGCCCAACGATTTATGAAAAAATAAGATACTTATGTAATATTATTAAAATTTTATCTAAAAATATAAATTTATACACTAAAAATGAGTAGTAAGAAAAATGATAATTATAACCTTGTTTTATAACATTATACTCCGTATTTCATAGTAAAGAATATGATTTTGAAAAATTCTTAGATTAACGGGTCGATCAGGTCAGGTTTGGATTCAGTCGAGTTTGATCTATTTTTAACGGGTTATTTCAAGTTCGATCAATAAAATCTTTATTCAAAACTCTATATTTTTGGGTCGGATTTTAGGTCAAAAACAGGTCAAACTCTGTTAGCATGAATTACTGATCAAACACTACACCTAACCTAAAGTTCAATTTTTATTTTATTTTCAAGTGTAAAAAGGAGAGTATAATCTACTCAGAAAAAGCAGAGGAGCCGCCGCCTCCGCCACATCATCTTATCGCAACCATCCGCCGGTACCGCATCTATGGCCGGACACACCACAATCACCTTCTCCTCCGCCACCAACTCTCTTCTCTTCCCTGTTCCCATTTCCGCTTCTCCACTCCCCTCTTCATTCCACGGCGTATCTCTCAAAGTCAACCCCGCCGTCAAATCGCTTGCTCTCCGCGCCGCTTCCGCTTCCAAGCCCCTCACGGTCGTCGCCGCGGCCAAGAAAGCCGTTGCTGTGCTCAAGGGCGCCTCCAAAGTCGAAGGCGTCGTCACTCTCACACAAGATGAGGACGGTCTGTTCTCTTTCTGCTCCAACTTCCCTACATTCAGGGTTTATGTGATCAATAAAAAAACCTAATTTCATAAGCATTTCTGTTCAAGGTCCCATTGGGACCTTTTTTATTGCTTCCTGCTTGCATGCTGCTTCTGCTCTATTTCTCTAAAAAATTGCATTTATCCATTTCGAAGGCTTTGAATTTTGAACATTTAGTTGATTGGAAAAGGATTTTATGCTGAAATGTAACGTGCCCTCCCCCATTTAGGTCTCCTACAAATTAATTATTTATTTGTAATTTCAATTGATTTTGTTGGAATTTGAACAACAAGAACCTAGTAGACCCTAGATGCAATGATGCATTTACTATCCAAACTTCAATGAAAATAATGAGAAAGAAATATGATTATGAGGTTATATAGCTTTGATTATGATCCATTTAGAAACATGGAATAATTAAGGACCATATACTAAGTCACCAACTTGGTTTGATCCCTTGATGTGATCATATTATAAGTATGTAAGACATTCTAAACAATTGGTTATCCGTAGAGTAGGCTTAAATCATGTTGACACTATTGCATCTGAAATATTCTTGTTTTCTTGTTGTGTTGCTATGTAGATGATCAATAAGAAATGTATCTAGGATTTTGATAATAGATCACACCTTGAAGAATGAATACCCGGCTACATTTTCCATGTTTTTCTAATTCCAACCACAACCCAGTAAGATCCCCAAGTGGGGGTCTAGTTAGGGTCCTTAGAATCCTTACCCTTTCCTCTGAAGGGAGGGAGGCTGTTTCAGAGGTTTTTATAATCCTAAATAATGCTAAAAACTAATCGATGGTCTCCTGTTATAAATCATAATAATAGGCCCAACCACTGTGAAAGTTCGTGTAACCGGGCTTTCTCCTGGACGTCATGGATTTCACCTTGTAAGTATACACAACTTAGCTGGCATGTTAATTTTATTTTCTTCTAATGCATTGACATGGGGTTAAAAAATTAATGTGCCTCACTCTTTTGTCATCTTGGGTTGCATCGTAGCATGAATATGGTGATACGACGAACGGGTGCATTTCTACAGGTTTGATAAGAAATGTTGGTTTAAATTGCTTATGATACATACACACCTCAATTCATTTTTAAGTCACTTATTCTGATGTTGTTTGGTATTAAGTTGAACTGTGTGTGTTTCACAAATAGGAGCACATTTTAATCCCAATAATGTGACACATGGAGCTCCAGAGGATGAAGTCCGTCATGCGGGTGACCTGGGAAACATATTGGCCAATGCTGAAGGTATTGATTTGTCTTTTCAACCTCTTCACTATGAAATTCTTCTTTATGTTGATTCAGTGCTGAGTAGTTTTGGCCCCTTTGATTTTGCTTGCTCCTGCCCAGGTGTGGCTGAAGCAACAATAGTTGATCATCAGGTACTTACTCTCAATCTTATCAGTTACATTGTCACACAATTGTTTAATATTCATGATTTAAGTTTGATTTAAATTATGTTCTTCAATCTATTAGAGCCTGAGTATGTGTCTCAACCTAAAAATATTTGTTTTGGGTAACCTGTAAATATATTACTCCGTAGTAAGTAACCCAAGTGCGTATAGCCGTATATACAGGACTAGGACGGGCATCCCCGAATAAAAAGCTCGGGACCAAGACAAAACACAAGTCTGTCTTAGCCTAACAACCAAAACAATAAAAAACCCGCCACTTTTCCTACATCAAAAGTCCACCATACGACAAGGATACAACTTGAATAAAATTTGGTATACAACAAATCTAATTTTAACTAAAATGCCACAGACTTCAACAGGAGTGTCAACCTAAAAATCTCTGCAATGGTGTTAGGAAGGTAATCTATAAAGTGGGTAAATTTCTGATGTGTGAATACTTTAGGAAGCTTTTGGGTATTGTTTTAGATATCGAAGTATATGCTAAGCCCTTCTTTATTGATGGAACAGATACCTTTAAGTGGCCCAAACTCGGTGGTCGGAAGAGCTTTAGTGGTTCATGAACTTGAGGATGACCTTGGAAAGGGTATGTTTCAGCATCTGGATTGATGCTCAGTTTCTCTGATTATTTTGGCTGTTTAAAAGTTGTTATTGTGATCAGGAAATGTAACCAGCTAATCTTAGTTAATGACAAAATCCTATATTTCTATGTAATCCGGGAGCTGGTTTGGTAAGGCCTAACATATCTATCAAGTGGTAGAAGTTGCTGAAGTTGTGGCTAAAATGACTGAATCTGTATTATTATCTACAAAATTAAAATCTATATTCAATTAAAACGAAGGTTGGCTCAATTTGCAGGTGGCCATGAGCTTAGTCTCACTACTGGGAATGCAGGTGGACGGTTGGCTTGTGGTAAGGAAATTATATCAATAATTTATTGGCATAACACATAGTATATATATTTCCTTGTTTTAAAATGTCTGTCTTTTAAGGTTTGTGCACACATATTAAGAAAACAATAAAAATTTCAAAGTTCTTGAATAATAAATCCAAAAAAATATACTATAATGCTCTTGTATTAATCATTAATATATTAGTGTAGATGAAGACAAATTTAGAAAAGAAAAAACCAATCAATGCTCCTTTGGTGTTCTCAAGTGATGTATAGATTGAAACATATGTTTTCTTCTAAGAAAGACATATTTGGGAAGTGTGTTCCTGCTAGTATAAGAATTCTCACTCGAAAACTGAGCAACACTTTGACTTTGTGGGGATTGTGTAGGAACTGGTCCTTTCATACCTTGAAAATGATTTAAATCATTTAAAATAAATTGCATTTTTGATAATATGCTGATTATGATCTTAAACAACTTTTTAGTGAATATATTTTACACCTTTCAAGATGTACAATTGTGGAAGAAAGGATTACAGATGCATTAATAGTACTCCGTACGTTAATATTACTCCATATAAAACTTACCTATTTTTAGGTCCACCACCCATAAATACAGTGTAGGATGGGAGGAAAAGTTACCATTATTAATTTTTAATCGGAACATCGTTAATGCCCCAATTGAACCGATTTTGTACTATGACATTGAAACTCAATGCCAAAAGATCTCTGCTATTATTATTATTGTTGTTATTGTTATTATCATTATTATTTTGTGCTTTTATAGAGAAATGGATTGTTTTCTTTGCAGCGTTTAGCTCTGTTAATCTTTCTTTTTACCACGGTTACATGTATAATAAATGTCTTAAACAGGTGTGGTTGGCTTAACACCAGTATAATTCAAGATTTGGAGCTGAGTTTCCCTCATATTTTCGTGATGTAATAAATAAAATTTGAGATTGTATGTGGACTTTATTCACTCAGTTCATGCATGCCTTTGTTTGGGATGCTTAAAATGTATTGTAAATTGAATATCCACATCTTTTCTAATTCACCTTTTTTACGGAGTAACTTGTTAAGAGGTTCATTACCTCTTTCTTTTGGTGGATTAGGCTTTTGTGTCGTCTCCATCAAGCTTCTCAGACTTTTTCTTTTTACAGACACGTACAGACATTGTTACTCTTCACTCTCAGAGTGAAGAAGGGCAGTTATGTCCAACGTTGATTATTAATGTCAATGCATAAGTGGTCTGCCATTGAGTTATGTCTCGTTACCTTAACCATAGTTAGGGTGGGCGGGGGATCGTCGAGTTAAATTATGGACGATTTGGGCAATGCTTAACAAGTCACTTGGTTAATTTATGAGACATCACAATGGTGGTTTGGACATTGAAGAGAGGGAGAGAGAGATAGAGGTGGAGTAATTGAAGGAAGAAAAAGGGAATAGATGTGAGACAAAGAAGCATTGCAAAGTCAAAACAAATGTGCAATACACTAATTGATGGCAATCAAGTATCCACTCATTTACACTCTTAAATTACACTAGGTTTAAAAAAATTATTACACTCTTGATTTTTTTACCCATCTCTTTATTTTTCTAAAAAAATTACTCAGTATGAAAATTAATCATTATTGAGCCAAATTCGGCCTCAAAAGGGCTCTCTGATGTGAGCTTTTTTTCACTACTCGATTAAAGTTCATTCATAGTTTGTCGATGTTGCAAAAATAAAAAATAATCCTTTCAGAAGATAGTGTAATGTTCTAAAAGATATTGAACTTAACCCAACTCCATCCAAAAATGTACTCCCTCCGTCCCATTTTAAATTGTCTATTTTCTTTTTAATCCGTCCCAAAATAAGTTGCATGTTTCTTATAATAATAAACTTTTAAGGGTAAAATACCCAAACTACCCCTAAAATAAGTTGCTCCTCTCCACATTATCTTCTCATTTATCGCCACCCTCGTAAAAAAGTAAGACATTTTTGAAAAGTCAACACCATTTTTTCTTTTTTTAAATGTGCCCCAAAGTCAAAACGGGCAAGATAAAATGGAACGGGGGAGTAGAAATTATGCAGCATTTATTGAGGTGTGTTATTCATGAATAAATTCAACACTCAATTAAAAAACAGATATGAACCAAATCTGCGGCTTAAAGAAATAGAAATGGCACAAGACAGTGTAGTGTAGTAAGTCTCTCTTCTCCAGTGTAGAGTGGATAAAGGGTCCCAATACATCACATGAACAAATCTATTCAAATATGACTATATCTAATGTTGGAAGGATTGACTATATGCCACCCTATACTTCCTTTAGCCCAAATTTTGTGTTTTCTTTGTCTTTAAAACAAAAATACCCGATATTTTTCAGTTACTCGGAGTATTTTTTTAATACTCTTTCTGTCCACAAGTTTATAAAAATATGACATTTTATTCTCTTGCATATATATTTTCATAATTTTTGGTCAAAATTTAAAAAAATTTGACAAAATGTAGTACGGAGTATTTTTTTAAACTGGATAAAATTTTAATAATGTGTTTTTCATTTTTCAACACGATAAATCAAACTGAATATATAGTTTTTAGAGTGTGATACATATATTTTCATAGACCTTAATAATAATAGGATAATTTACCTAAATAGGACTAAAACATAATGACTTTCTCAATATAAAACCACATGTTTTTATTTTCCAATGTAGAACTACTGGTCATTATCTATTAGTCATTATATTATTCAACTAAATGTCCAGCATCACTTAGACATTATTCTTTTAACTAGTCATTATTAAGTCTTATGTAGGGAATAAAAAAGTTCAAATCCTAATAATAATAATAATAATAATAATAATAATAATAATAATAATAATAATAATAATAATAATAAATAAAAGTTGCAATTTAATGCATAATAACAAGGCTATGTCTAAGTTCATGGTATGTCAAGAAACAAAATAAAACTAGATCATCTTTACTACAACACAACTTGTCTAGTGCCTTAATTAGTTCCATCCCCGCACCAAATCTCTCCTCTTTGTCTCCATACACAGTTTCTGAAACTTTTTTTTTCCCCCTCTTTGCTCACTACTTATTTATACACACTTCACCATAATTTTCCACTATATAATAAAAAGTGTATCTTTAAAGTGTATCTTTTGCTTATTTATCAAGTTAAAAAAAAGATATTTTTTGATGGTGTTGTGCAAGGGAAAACGCAGTAAACGACCGCGGGCGGCCGTATTCGGCGATTCTAGTAGCGGCGGCGGGGGCGGCTCTCCGGCGAGTTCTAGCAGTCGGGTGTCCAACGAGGAAGACGATGACGTGGCGCATTGTCTGATGCTCCTGTCCCGCGGCGGCGGTGGAGGCGCGGGGGGTTACGAGTGCAAGACGTGCTGCCGGAGGTTCCCGTCGTTTCAAGCTCTGGGCGGACACAGAGCGAGCCACAACAAGAAACAGAGCGCGCCGGAAAATCAAGAAAACCAGAAGGGGACCTCCGGCTCGCCGTCGATGGCCAAGAGTAAGATCCACGGGTGCTCGATTTGCGGGTCGGAGTTCTTTTCCGGGCAGGCGTTGGGCGGTCACATGAGAAGGCACCGGCCGTTACACATGAACAGAGTCGTTACTGTCAGTGCTGTGAACAGAGTGATGTGCTCCTCCTCCTCCTCCTCCGCCGCCGCCTCCTCCTCCTCCTCCTCCATGGAAGACGGTGATGATCAAGGAAAAGCTGCAACTGGGTTCACACTGGACCTTAATTTACCTGCTCCACATGAAGAAGATGGTGATGATTTGACGCCGGAAAGTTATGTCTTCTCCGGCGGGCCGGGGTTGGTGGAATGTCATAACTAAGTAATTAAATTTAATTAAATTAATGTTGGAATTTATTTATTATATTTATTTATATGGAATATTAAGGTAGTGCAGTGTAGGAAGTAGATGGTAAGAGCATGCAGTCCAAATTAAAGCAATTTGATTTCTGCATACATACATACGGAGTATATCATACATACATATATAATCATATTTGATGTTCTTTTATTGTGATTTAACTATGGGGATGAATTTGTTTATTACTCTCTTATTTATGTTCTCATAACTCTTAAAGATTGAAAAAAAGTTGCAGTTTTTTTTTTGTTCTCATAACACCAACACCAAAAAATCTTAAATGACTAGTAAAATAGGAAAAAAATTTGTTCCGGCACTCATCACTGTATATCGAGACAAACGTAACGTGTCAAAACTAGACGACAAGTGACATCATGTTACATAACTATATTATTGAATGTATCTTCAATCAAATGCTCAATCTTGTAAGTCGAAACTATAAAAACCTCCTCTATTTCCGTCATTGTAAAGGATCCTAAAATCTAAAACAAGTCTTAGGGGGGCCGTTTGGTGAGTGTAGGAGATATATATGAATATTCGTATCTTCCGATATCAGATTTCTTTTTTGGTGTTTGGTAATTCAAAAAAATTGAATTTGATATCTCTAGATTTCACAAATCCTTTAAATAGAAGGTTTTGATATCTCTAGAATTTGAGAGCTATCAATGTGGAGATTTGATTTCTCCCTCAACCTTCAATCATCCCCTGCTACCGGCTACTACTGCCACCGCCAACCACCCCCGTTACCAGTGACCTCCCCCAAACACTAATCAAATCATAATTTTATCTCTCTAAAGTACTTCATTTCATATTTTAAAACATATACTCCCTTCGTCCAAAATTAAACTTTACATTACGCGTTACGATGTTTGACTGAAGTTATTTTCAAATCATTTTATATGAAAAATGGTGTAGAATTAAAAAATAAAAATTACATATTAAAAAACTATATCAAAAGATCTACAAAACTAGAGGTGACATGACTATATTATTTTATCAAATGGGTGACGAAAATAGGCCAACAAAGTGAATAAAGTTTGACCTTGTGAATAGTACGTGAACGTAAAGTTTATTTGTGGACAGAGGGAGTATCATTTCTCTCAGATTTTAAAACTCATATCATATCTCTAAAACTCATCAAACAGACCCTTATCAACTAGAGTGGGCAGAGAAAATACCCTAATATAAAAGCCTACAACCGGCCCTACAAGTTTCTCCATCATAGAAAGATAGGTGAAAAGCATGGAGTTCTAAATTTTTAGAATGGTGCATATTTCGAGCTTAGATGATAAATAAATGTGTAGGTTGATCATTTGGTTGAATAGATGATGGACGTATAGATGGTTTGTTTTTACTACATCTTAGCCTATGTTATGCATGTTTTGTTCTTTACTTTCACAAACCCTAACTAGTTTTAGACTGACTTTTGCGCCTTTCAAAAAAAAATTCATTGAATTAAGTTTTACGTTTTATGATTTAGGAGAAAAACCAAAATAGGACTTTTATGTTTTATTCTCGAAATAGGACTTACATTATCATACATGGTCATATATACATTATCAAAAAAGTATAGTAATTTACACATGTACACTGACACATTACAACAAGGCAAAGTCACATTACCACATTGCAAAGTCCTATTTCGGGAAAAAAACATGAAAGTCATATTTTGATTCTTTTTTCTATGTTTTATTCCTATTTAGGGTGATTTCTATTATGATTTCCCTAATTTAACACCTAAAACATTCTCAATTTAAAGAAGTAAACAATCATTAGATCATAAGTAAAATGTGTGAATATATATTTTTCATCTCTTTTCCACCCTCTATATCATAAGCAAAAGAACTTAGTGATGGATATATACAATGTACACACAGGTAATTACAGTTCCTATCCCCATAGGAACATATATACAGAAGCTGATTGGGGGACTGCTTAATCTCAACTCTCTTTTACTCTATTTCAGCATGCACATAATCTACAAAAACAAAGTTTTTCTTTTGTTCGTGAAGGAGGTACGCCAAGCAGGCGCTCACAACCCCCAAGCTGCCCAAAACCATTCGGTATCTCGTGTCCGAAGGGATTCCGGCTGTTGCAGAACAGAAAACAAAGACACCCACCAAAAACGTCTGCAAGGTCTCAAATGTTTGGTATGCTCTTTTGCAAGACGAGCATTTAAGTGTGTGCTGCTCAAACCGGTCCAGCATCTGTCGCAACATGGAAACTGGGAAATTCAGAATGGTTCATATGGGTGACTTTGGATTTAGGGATAATATCTCTTCCATCCCACAACAAAACTTCCTACTGTGTCCCAAAAAACACATTAATGGTGACTGAAATGGTATATGATCACATATTATGTTTGTTCTAAGGAAAGACCAAACGTAAAAAAATCATTTTCGTAAGTTCCGAACATAGCCCAAGATGGTGAAGCAAATCTATATAAAGCTGGTGTAGAAGATGATTGCATATGGGATGAGAACAAAATTGGGACTATTGATACCTCACGTTTGGATAAGACCGTGGATGGCAATGGAAGTTGCTCGATGCTACCAAACCACTCTGGCTGACCATTTCCATGTCGCCTAAGCCAATTCCGAAATGCCAGGACAAGGCGGTCAGCTTGGGTAGGTGTGAAAGTGATCTTTGTGTACTCTTTGTTAATATCCACAGAGGATTCCCTTGACTTTGAAAGGAAGATCTTTTCTTGGCCTTGAAGCACAATCATATCTCCATCATATACCTTATTTGAAGTCCAATGCTCTTGCCATCTAGGAATTACCTGTTTTCAGAAAATAATCACTGGAGTAAATAAATAAACATTCCCTCAGTTATGCCTATTTATTCGACGAAATCACACAATTTAAGAAAATGCATTGGAGTGATGAAGTGTCTATAAAGAATGTCTCAATACTTTCTCATATAAAACCATCAAAGCTACAAGAATCACAAAAATATAAGAGCAAGCAGTTACCTGCCACCAAGCGGGCCCCGGCATCGTAAATTGGAAAAAGTTCCGAGCACTACAGACAATGGAGCGAGTCTTCCCTGGTGCCATAGGTACATTGAAGGAGCATATCCATATCACCCATTTTTGTTCCCCAAACAAAGGGAGCTTAGTGTTAATCTCTATTCTGAACAAGAGCAAAGAATATGAACAGAAGTTGCTAGAGTCAAAATTATTAACAGAACGTTATACATTTCAAAACATGCACCAAAAATTGATGTTTCAACTTGGACCGAACTCCGAAATTATAAATAAAAATTAATAAAGACTAATCTCTCCCTCAAGACGCATTTCAAACAATTAGAGTCGAGTTTAATGAAGTGAAAATATTGTTTTCTCTCTAAATGTACATTGGTCAAACATTACTCTTTTTGGGTAAGGAGGTAGGCCTTGTTTGGGAACAACATTTTCAATTAGCGTTAGCGTTTTGGATAATATTTTAATGGTGTAGATTAATTCACAAAAGGCTAAAGCTAAAGGCTACCGTCGAATAGCCTTTTCAAATGTGAATGCTAATCTCTAACGCTGATGCCAAACGGGGACGTAGTCATAACTGATAAAAGAAAGTAACACGTGAAATTAAAGCTAGTCTAGTTATGGAATATGAATTTAAATATATAATATTGTGTATGGAAAAGCATCTGTTTAAACAATAATAAACTTACTTATTCATGGCATAGCAAGGAGCAACGAATTTGGCACTAATTCTAGGGTTATCACTATTTGCACCAGCAAAACCCCAAGGTCCTGAAGATTCCATTTTGAACGGCAGGGGCTTGGCTCTATCTCTCCTTCCAGTGACCTGTAAAAAAGTCTCTGTGGGTGAGACAAAGAAAAAAAGAGAAAATAAAGGGATCCACAGGACTTAGTTTTATAATTCAAAAAGGGCTAGGCGAAGCTTGTTGCACGTTTGCCTTCTCTTTCGATGTATTAGACAATCACATACGGAATATATCTAAGAGTATTATTTTACAATTAAAAAAATCCATAATCGAAGAAAAAGGTCATATTTGAACTAAGAAGCCAATTCTCAACATGTTAAGAGTGAAACGAGCAGATAAATATAGCTAGAATTGATAGTTTCCAATAATTGTACATCACTACAATTTAAAAGATCTATCTTAGTGAAATAAGACTCTTTCTTTACGAAGGTAGTACCAACAATCAATGCCAAGATTTATGAGGCATACACTCATACCATGTCATTATTTGGGATGGGTCTATTGGACTGGCAACCAAAAATGTATACTGAGTTAGGCTCAATATAACCATTCCATAATTAATACTACGTATTGTGTTTACGCCCAGACCCTCGGAGCCCACATGATTGGAGAGGGGATGAAGCCCATGCGAAATGGGGCTGGTTAAGCCAACCCAGAAGAGAGGTTCATGTATCATGTATGTGATGGACGAGGTAGGCGCTATGGTCATGAGACAAGATCACAAGAGAAAATATCATAATGTCCATGATCTCCCCACGACCCCCAAGAAGGCCATGATATCCCATGATCATGGGCCACATTCCCATGTCCTACTGGAATGTGTCTAATTGGAATGTTGGAAGTGATTTCTCATTGTTGGTTGACCTCTTTCCTGAAGTAACACACTCTTGATATACAAAAGGCATTATCTTGCTTATCTCTTCATAGTTCTTACGATCTATTCCCTATTATTTAGGTAATAATTTTAGTGGATTAAAGCCCATCAATTTGTTTACGAACAATTTAGGATGCATTGTACAAAAAAAGATCATATCTTACAAAGAACATCATACCTTGTGATGTGCAAAATCAATATGAGAAGGGTCGGAGACATTCTCCATCAAAGTATCATACCCATAGAACAGATCGCGCTGAATATTCACGGTTGCAAACTCGGGCTTTTCAAAATCATCAGGCAGCCTATAAACAAATTCAAGAGAAAAACCATACACAAGCAAAGTCATTAGTTCACCCAAAGACTCATACGCACATAGTAATAGATAATAGAGCTGAAGAGCAAAACATTGTTACATGGGGGGCATGGTGGAAGCAGCTCTTTCCCACCCGTTCTTGTCTGGCCAAACAAAGAGAAGTCCCTGAGAAACCATGGTGGGAAGCTTAGTGGCACATGCCCTCGGAGACTTGACGGCCCCGGCTTCAGGTCCCACTGGGGAAGCCTGTGGGATTCTTGTGCACGACCCACACCCATCAAACGACCACCCGTGGTAAGAGCACTGCAAATGCCCATTTTCATCTAATCTCCCTTCCTAATCATACAAGCCATTGACGAAATCAGAAAACACCCCCCCAAAAAAAGGGCGCAGTAACTGGATTTAACAATAGGGTTCGGTGAATTGGAATTACCGATAACGGCGCGAGACGGTGGGGGCATTTGTCATCCATGGCGACCCAGAGGGAGCTCGATCCATCGAACCAGAGGACGATTTCACGGTTCAGAAGCTGGAAAGGGGTGGGCAAACTAGGGTCGAGATCCTCAACTAGGGCAACGGGGTACCAATGTTCTCGCCAATTGAACTTCGACTGCGATTCCTCTTCGATCTCGTCCGACTCCAGTATTACTTCATCGTCTAGGGTTTCTTCGGCCTTCGGCGGGGTGGTCGCCGGAGCGGACACGCGGAGAGGGGAGGCAGCAGCAATTCCGCATCTTCCCGGCGGCGGTAGATTCGAGGCCGCGGTGAGGCGCGGAGGGAGCAAGGTTCGAAGAGGAAGAGTGAGAAGTGAGGGAGTCCAAAGAGAGGACGCCATTGTAGAGAATGAATGAAGCTGGGTTGTGGTTGTGCAGTGAGGGAATGGGAGTATTGATTACGGAAGCGGTGAAGTGAAGAAAAGCCTTTGCGTGTCACACAGGGAAGCAATCCAAGTGGCTTCGTTTTTTTGCCATTTGGCAAAATAAGGTCCAACTTGGAGTATTTTATTTTTGGGGAAAGGTTCCCATGACATTAACCGGCAATGTTATGGGATGACGTAGGACCGTTTCGATGCCCCTAATCCCTCCAGTAAATCCTCCAATCCCGCCCCGACCCGAACACTCTTCCACTCCCTTCAATTGCATCTCACAAGTTGATTTTGATTTTGGAATCAAAATTTGACTAAAAAGTCAAAATCAACTTGTGAGGTGCAATTGAGTTTACCAGGGGTTGGAAAAGTAGAGATTATCAATTTTACAAATAGGGTACCAGAATGCCTTCAGATCATCCCATGACACGGGGTTCCAATGTCATGGAAACCCCACTCTATTTTTGGACAACACTTTCAAATTTTCTTTTGTAACATCATTTTTATACAAAGGTAAAGTTATAAAGAGAAACACCTACATATATTTTCGCAAGATAGTTATTGTTTGTATTACAAGAAGAATTTCTCAAATTGAAAAAAGTTATATGAAATTTTAATTAGAGATTGGTTAATAAAAAGTATTATCCATAGTAGCTGTAAAAATCTAATGCAAAGAATGATTATCTTACATTATCGTTGCCAATTCAATTAGAGATTGGTTAATAAAAAGTATTATCCATAGTAGCTGTAAAAATCTAATGCAAAGAATGATTATCTTATATTATCGTTGCCAATTCAATTAGTATACCTTGACCCACCTAAGCAAGGATCTCATACTTTATTTTATGGCAAAAAATCATTTGATTTTTAGAGTATAGATTTGTAATTTAAAAATTCAACATATACTCCATCCCTCTCTAAAAAATTGTCCTCTTTCTAACAATGTAAACATACATCCTTTTTAAAATAATTAAATTTACAAGTTAATATTGAAAATAAAAAATACACTTTTCATATTTAAAGTCTACATCAGAAGTTATAAAAAATAAAATATTTATGTTTTCGTTACAAAATCACAATCAGTTTTTTTCAAAAATCCAAATCAAAGGCACCCAAAAGAATTCTTTAACGTTTTCATATTTTTTTTAAATCAAAGCTACTTGTTCTAGCCGTTCCCTACTTAAAATGTGGGGAGATTGTAAGTAAGGCTAGCATATGGTAATGCATACTTTTGACAATAGTTACCAGTTCCTGTCCTGAAGGACTAATGCAGGCCCAAAAGACCAAGACCCACAAATTTGTTAGCCACACACATCTCAAGAGACACAAATCAGCATAAAAAGCCATTACATGAAAGGCAAAAGCAACAAGTCTCATACACATCCACACATTTCAGTGAAGTACTGGACAACACAAGTTCGCATCAGTGCTTCCAAAACAAATGCCATCGGCACTTTGCAGTTTCGGAGAGCGTAAAACACATAGATACAGTAATTCAATGGGCAACCATGCTTTGCTGAGACTGACTCTCTTGTTGTTGTTGATAGTTGAGCGGCCTACGGAAGAGCATGATGTGCGGCTCTGGTCGATGAATAGCATAATGCACCCAACCCCGGCTCTGCTGAACCCCTAGAGCTCTCCATTCGGTCTAATACACGACTCAAAAAACACAAACGTTGTTAAAGCAATGTGATAATATAATGTAAAAAAGATAGTGATTGGCGAAAGAGATTGTAGGAAAAAGCCCTTACTAAAACAACCTTTTGAAGAAGGATTACTGAGATGAAACTATTACATGAACAAAAACAAAACCAAACATAATTCCAACTCCATAGGGATATGGGGAAAAGATTAGGCAGTCTTTGCCCCCCCGTAACCATAAATGACAGCGAAACTCGCCCAAGCATTGATGCATAGCTGAATTTACTACCCAAAACTTAATCAGAAGTGAGTTTTTCCTCCCATCATATGGTCCATATACTTGTTAGTCATGTTTCAACTTTCAATACAAGATTGATAAGGTGAAACCAACTAGTGAATTATGAAAAGGAAATGATCAGTTCAGATCTCCACTACACACAATGGTTGCTAGAATCTCCGACGTTCTATAATAGTTGAGCAAAACCAAATTTAAAACTCTAAGTATTTAATTTTCAAATACGATCTATCCATATCGACACACAAGAACCTTGCCAATTATAAGGGAAAGAATTTTGCGCAAACAAGTTCCCATGACATCTTTTAGTTTTTCATACGATTACACAAAAATAAATTTAGGTATCATCTCAAGTGCATATAAAATATAATCATCCAAAAGTTGACATTGCAGATTTCACCTTTCCAAAAGTTGTAAAGGTGATTTCTCAACTCTGAAGTCTGGACCAAAGAAAAGATTTTCATCACAGGAACATGAAATAAATTTTCAATGAAACCTGTGTACCAAAAACCGCCTAAGTGAACTGGATTCAAACACAAAGAAATCCTCAAATATGATCTACATAAAGCTACCAAATTCCTATTAATTCAAGACGTTCTTCGCAGCAACGAATATGCGATCATACAACTCATATCACCAATTTGAATACAGCATCAAACTACCATGCTAAATGCACTTACTTCAGAGAGAAGCCGATTCTTAGGAAGGAGCTTTGCCACATCTTGAGGGAGAACAACATGCCTAATATTATATTAAACAAATTTACATCAAAATGAATGGATGAAATACTGTATATTCTGCAGAATAAAATGAAAAATCAAATAGATGGGGGAAGAGGATGAAACGGTTACCTGTACTCGAAGGTGTCGTCGAAGTACTTCTCGGAATACTGGATCTGGCCCATTTCTTCACTGGTAGCCCGACGATGGTGGCGGATCGAAGCTTTGCCGGGCGATTAAAAATTACAATCTACTTGCACTGTAAAAATAAAGCAAATCCCCGAATTTAGAAGAGAAAATCTAGCTAGATCTCTGTTTATGAGCGAATCGATCGAAGAAAAAAAACGCAAATACCTGAAATTGCAGAGCGATGAATCGATGCTGAAGAAAGATGATCGGAGTTTATTGATAGAGGAGAGGGGGAAGGGCCTATTTGTATGAAATAAATATTTGTATGAAGGAGATTGCTGGCGAAATTGGATTTTTTTTTTCTGTTTTTGTTTATTTTTTTTCGTTTGTGCACTATTTGAATTTCAAACTTAAGCAAATTCCCGCCCATTTGGTTTTCCCTAGCATGTGACCCGACACTATGTTTGGTTCAAAAAATTAGAAAAAAGAGGAAAAAAATGAATTATTCTCATTTTCGTCACCAAAATAGAAGAAAGTCTGATTTCTATCTTGATTTCTTATTTTTTTATTCTTTCAAATTCATTGAACCAAACATAGTGATAGAGTATGGATATGTGAAAAAATTTCAAATAAAAAAAGAATTTGTGAAATTAGTACTTGAGAAATAAGTTTGTATAATGAAAATGTGGTGAAAAAGAGTACCATTCTACAGTTATTTGCTTTGAATATCAACGAACAATACCAACTTAAATTGAAACTTATACGGTGTTCATTCGCAAATGACATCAGTCTAACGCCTCTAGTATATCCCCACCCTTGACTAATGAAGGAGGGTTGTCAATAGCTCCATGACTCAGCTCAGTGATTGTCTAAATTACGATCATGCACATTTACCCAGTGTTTAGGCTACATTATTGTTGGAATTTAGACTTCAATTTAGTCTCTTTCTTCCCCTTGCTTACTTCAATTCTACTTATAGAAGAATTTGGCAGGAGTTTAATTGCCGGGAAATTCGGCATGAGTCTACAGTGGAAATCACTGTGCAGTGGTTTCCGGAGGCTGGCGCATGCGTCAGACGTCGCCTCCGCATTAAATGATCGTACGGTTGTCATGATTGGTGGTTGGTCACCGAGTTCATGGCCTACCTAATCCCGACGAATCCTCGGGGTCGGGCATACCCAAGTCGGGGGAGACTTGAAAAAATAAATGACTACTCATTCACCCAACCATAACCGAGCGGGACCCGCTCGGGTCTGTCGATGCTTGAAAGAGGTGCACCTAGCGAGGACTCCATGGGCAATATGGGAACACCTTTTCACCATGGGCCCTCATCATACACCAATTGGGCCTTTATCCCAACAATTATTATCCAAGCCTGGCAAAAGAAAAATTTCATTTACGATCTCCCACCTACTAACAAGGCATGGGAACAACAATTTGTTTTCGTTGAATTTTAAGAGTCTCGAATTTCTAAAACCGGCTGATGACCTTGTTGGTCAATCTTTCTGTCACCCTTGTATTTTTGTTAGAGTCTATCTCACATTGGAAGTTGTCGATAAAAACATTTGATTTATAATCTCTCGAGTTGAACTAAGTAATTCATTGAATTCAATAGTTTAATGTGGCTCAACCCAAGTATTATATAGCAAAATCGAGTAATTCTTTCCTCATTCTAAATTCTATAATGGTATCGGAGTAGGTTTTGGTCCACCTCGTTTGTCAAGGTGTCTATCTATACGTTCATTCCTAGCGGCCCCACTCTTTAACCTAGTTATTCGTGCGAGATGCATAACCATTGACACGTGGCCTGTTTAACCCGATTGCTCATCTCAAAGTCTATACCCAGCGCCTCGTGGTCTTTTAGGTGTTGGCGCGGAAAAAAATAATTAAGGGATGAGTTTTCAATTTCAAGTGGTCAACTATTAGATTCAAAATGACTCTATTATCCACTTAAGGGGAAGTTTTAGAGTCAATTAAACATCAAAATTTGATGATAAAAATATTGGGCATATAAGCTTTTGATTTGAACTTAATATTCCATTGAATTTAACCGTTTAATATGGTTTAACCCAAGTGTCTTATACCCTAATCTAGTAATTCTTTCCTCATTTTAAACTCTATGAGTTTTAAACACAAATATGAAATATGTATAAACAAGTTGTTGTTCATACACACACACACACACACACACACATAGCACAAAAAGTATTCTCATCATTTTTAAGCTAGTTTTTTGTTTCCCCGTTTTGAATAGATTATTTACAAAGCTATCTCTTACCATGAATATTTACAAATAATTTATCTATCATTTAAGTCGGTTTTATAAGCACACAAAAACATGTCATCAGTGAACTTATAAGTCTTAAAAACTGTTTAT